TTGATACAGTTGTTTCCCTTTTTTGAGTAAGGACAATCAGGAAATGAAAACTATGGCTTTGCCTGAGAAGAGATGTCCTAGAGACTGGTTCTGTTGCTTGGGAGGAGACAGAGGGAGAAGAGGGGAAATTACATAAATCACTTTCCACTTTGTCCCCTGTACCCAGCTTGGCTGTCATGGGACAGGATCTGACCCTGCTTTACAACTTCAGGATGGAGACCTGAGGACATGGGCAGGGTGGTGTCAAAAGGAAGAAAAGAGGAAGTGAGAAGAGGAAGACAAGGACAAGACAAAGGACTCCTTGGTGCTCTTACTCAGAAATAAAGCCAGATTCTAATCTCAGGAGGAAAAGCAAGAGAACCAGCCCCTTCTTCCTCCTCCTTTCTCTCACCTCAGCCTAGCTACCTTATGGACGAGAATGGAGCTGAGGGAAATCTGGTGAAAGTTTAAAACAAAAGCAGCCTCAAGGTGATTTCCCAAGATGGAAGCGAGGGCTGGGGGCCTTGAGTGTGAAGACAGGGGATCCTTAGCTCATGGCTTGCTTATAGGAGTGACTTCCTCTCCTCCCTGTGGCTTGCCTCAGTCTTGTAGCCACTCCAAAGAGGCCACTGCCTCTTTGTGGTGGCTTTACTGGTTCCAAATTCCTACCAGTACACCTGGGAGGTATTCACCCGCCCCCACACACACTTGTGAGAAGTCCTGGCTTTGATGAGAAAAGGATGCCATGGAGTTTTTTAAATAGTACTGAAGGTCTAAAAAAGATAACACATTCCAAAGTTCCAACAGGAAACAGAACAGGAAGAGGGGCGCAGTGTTCAAGCTCTCTCCAAATAGGATGCATTCTAAGCTAAAAGGAACCCCGTGACTATCTGGGTTTTACTGAAAGCAAAAGCTCACAATTTTAATAGTGCCTTTGCACAATAAAAATGCAGTCCTGTTATTAGCTCATAGGATTGCTTTTTAGAAAGACCAGCATAAGAGGCCGAGTGGAAATGCCAGGTTGGGGGCAGAAATCTCCAGAGGGTTTTTCTAATTGTGAATCTAGAAAAAACAGACAGAGCAAAACAAAAACATGCGACTATGGAATCACTGTAAAGAGCTAAGGTGTTTATAAATATCAAAGCTTGGTTTCAAGCTTTTTGGTAAAAGTTTTAAGAGCAAGGGGTAGAAACCCTTTACAAATAGAACATCAATCTACACTGTGTTTAGGGGTAAACTCTGAATAGTTTATACATTAAAACTCAAAGCACCTATTTTAAAGTATACTGGGGGGGGTGCATGTGTGGCGGTACATGCCTGTAATCGCAGCTCTGAGGAAAGCAGAGGTAGGCGGTCTGAGGCAGTCCTGGGAAAAAGCACAAGACCTTATCTGAAAAACAAAGTAAAGAGCAAAAGGCTGGGGGGTGTAGCTCAAGTGATAGAGTGCTTGCTGAGCAGGCATGAGGCCCTGAATTCAAACCTAGTACTATAAAAAATAAAAATTAAAAATATAACATAGTAGCTATCTGGGGTACAAATCAGTTTTACAACATTAAGTTCATTCTAAGTAGAAGGTTGGAAAGTACAAATTAGGAGAAGGGCTAGGTTGAAACCAAAACAATTCTCTCTAAGCAAAAATTACTTTAGTGATATCAAGCTATCCAATAGCTCTCTGGCCCTATATCAATGTTAATAATTTATCAAACCTTGATAAATAGCTACCATAATGACCTTGGTATTTGCATCTGTGTCCAATTTACTCCAATCTTCATTTTTATATCATTGCTTAAGAATATTCCAAATACCTGCGAAAAAATGCCACTAGTCACTGCCTGCTACCATGTTAACTCTGTCTATAAGAAGATACCAACAAGAGCAAATTAACAGATCATTCCTGGGTTGACACCTACCCTCTCACTTTTATGAGTTATATTTCTGCTATCTGCTGGCTGAGGTTCATTATTGTGAACCAAAAACCAGCCAGAGATTCTGACTGGAGGCTTTCATCCCAAGAAAAGTTATCAAAGTGATAAATCTTGACTCTATGTATTTCTTTGTTCTGGAGCTTCTTGGCTTTTTATAAATATATAAACCAGCTTTTAGTTACCCTCAGCTATCTGTTAAGTAAAGGGACTAAGAAATTTGAGCACAAAAATATCAACAGGAGGAACAATCTGTGTATCTGTTTATGGTTGGTGAGCATTGGTCCCTTCCAGACTAATGAAGAGCTTTATTTAATGTTCTCTGGAGAACAGGGAAGAAAATAGTGCATTTCAAAGTACATACAAGTCAACTCAAAAAGAAAGGAATGTTCTACCTAATGTTTATTTCATATTTCCCTTAAGTATACTTAATAGCTCTATGCAGAGGGATCTTATTCTAAATTTCAAACACATGTCTGTGGATGTTCATAGAATTTTGGTTATACAAAATAGATGTCTTGATAATTACTAAAATCTAACTATAATGTCTACATTGTATTCTGGTTTTGTCTCTGATGCTGCATAAATCCTTGGAGAAATGTGTTATCTGTGGACTGCCTACCTTGTTCATCTCTCTGAGTCCAGCAACTAGCTCAACCAAAGTTCATTCTTAAGCAACATATGTTATTCCCTTAAGACAAAGACCTTTTGTAAACAGGATTTTGTCTGGCCAGAGGGAAGAATAAAGAATAGTCATCCCTTTATCATGTCATTTCTTTCTGGATGAACTTCTTGGCTCAGGATGAATGATTTGTACATATTACAGTTAACACCCAGGCCACAAAAATACATTAAACCACTGAAAATGAAGTAACCAGATCTACTTAAATGTTTTCACCATCTGGGCAAATAACATCCCAAGTGCCAAGACTGTTACCTAAGAAAATATCTTAAGTGTATTACCCAAGTACGAGAGGGAACAGGTAGGAGGATTTTGTGCCAATTAAAAAGTGTTATGATTGGCACACTTCTGTAAAACTCTAAAGTTGCAGTTTAATGGAAATGCTGGCTGTCATCCCCAAAATACATTTCAAGGAATCACAAAACTTCAGAATTAGGAGCAACTGAATGGAAGTTTTCATCTGTACAGAACTCAAATAATTAGGTGGTAACACGAGGACTTAATCCAGAGCCTCTTCCACTGCAGCCCCCTTCATCCTTCAGGACCTGAAGGGACAGTCTAGAGCATGGTTCACTTGACAAACCTGAACCCAGCTCCTGGATGGGGTCATGCTGACAAGGAACCAACTGGTAGCCCAGAGGTATCAGGGTCCCACACAGTTGGCTTGCTAGGCTCCACATTGGAGCACAATGCTGGGATTCAGAGAATAGGCTTATCCCTAATCTTGTGAAAAAAAAAAAATCCAAGGGGTGGGTAAAGCAAACAGCATTTTCATTTCTGGGAGCCTCTGAAACCGTTTCCCGAATGTTTGGGGTTTGGCCTCCCAGTACACACTTTGCCCCAGGCTGTTCTTCCCTTAATTTTTAGGCCCAAGTGTATTTTAAGGTAAATTGATCCCACATGCTTCTGATTCATTTACACTGAACTCATCAGCTCATGTTTTGAAAGAGCAATCTAGTCCAAGAAGCCCTCAGAGCCTGCTTTTATGAAGTCTCTCTCTGCCTTTTTCTTCGAAGCAGGAAGCCACATTTGGACATGAACAAGTAAAATACAAGCCCTAGGGACTTGGGTCTGGTTCTAAATATGGCACCTTGGAAACCAATGAGTCCTCAAACCACCAAGACAAAGCTCCCGGGCCTTCTCTGTCTGAAGTGAAAGGAAACCTGACCCTGCACTATGTGGAACCTGAGTCCTTGGTTCTGGCTTCTGGGTGGATGCAGAGCTCCCAGAAGCCTCAGCATTTTTAACTCCACCCCAGCTGTGACACCCAAACCTCCCCATGCAACTGTCCAGGTTGGCAGGTGCCTCTGGCCTTTGCACTGCACAGAGCCTAGCAGAGGCTGCATGCTGGCAAGTCTAAAAGAATTCACCCCTTTTCTCTGAGCTTGGGAACTGGAACCTTCTGTGCCTTGTGTGGCTGTTATCATCAACGTCACCTGAGCCTGACCAGGAGCATCACTGAGCATAGTTTGCCTATGCTCAGCCATGATGTGTGGTGTGGGGGTGAGAAAGGCTCTCTAGTGAGGAAGGTGGCTGTGGTTGCTTGGGTGCTACAGTGACTAAGATCCCAGGAATTGCCTACTAGCCCTAAGGGCCAGGGCACAACTCCTGGCACTGTACTGGTCTTTAATAAATACATCGTAACAGGAGGGATGGGAGCATCCACAGATGGATCCTGTGGACTCAGCCTCAGTCCTCAGGAGCACACTTTCTCCCTCTGAAGCTTCCAGTCCTTTTCTGGGATGGACATGAAGGCAGCTGCCCTAACTTCTTCAATCTGTGTCGTGTGCAGGTGACTGACCCGGATGTCTGAGGCTTGAAGGAGAAAATCCAGAGTCTCTGATCAGGGAAAGGATAATGAGCCCCATAAGGAACTTTGAAGATGGTGAGGGCCAGATGGCCAAGACTTAGGCCACATTTGTCCACCTCTCTTTCTAGAGGTTCTAACAAGGCATTCTCACCATCAGTTTATTAGTTTTTAAAAATCCTGATGCATGGGCCCTATAAGAAAAGACATCAGTTTTTGGGGGTGGAGCTTGGGGAGTCGGTTTTCCTTCCAAGTTATCTTTCTATGAAGCCAGGATTGGGAGCCACTGGTTTAAAGTAAGTTGAATTAATTTCTTGAATTTAATTAACTTGAATTTAAATTCCTTCCTGCGAGAGTCCTCAGGAAAACAGTCCACATAACAGAGATCACTAGTGGCATGAAATAGGATTCATTCTTCCCCCTAACTTCTCCACCACCCCATTTCACTGTCCCCCCACCTCCTGTCACTTTGTCACCTTCCTGGTGATGGTCCACAGCTCTCTGGAGATCTTTCCAGGCCAGTGAAAAATCAATGTGTTTAAACAGATCGAAAGCCAACTCTAAGGGCTGAATCATCTATGGTGTCAAAATGAACCAAACACAAGATCTCTTCAAATATTTAATCAGTTTTGGAGACCGCTGCCTTCTGACCCAGTTGGGTAAAAGTTTTAAAGAAAGCATGATTAAGGGGTCTTCAAAAAATTGGGCTAAGATGGAGGGAAGACTAGGATTGTGAAGACAAAACATAACGTGTCTGAGGCCTGTTGAAGGAATTCTAGCACTTTAAAAAATAAACAAGAAAAGGTTAAACAGTTATACAAATTTAAGGACACCTAAAACTTCTTTTATGGCTGAAAATACCAGACATGGTTTTGAAATAGACTCTAGAAACCCTTAGATCCTGCTGTGGTCTGTTTCCATAGCTTTCTCAGTACACGCAAGAAGCAAACTAGCGATACCCAGCATTCCCCCATGAGCTCTTGGGGCCTTTGCGAAGCAGCGATGCAGCGAGAGACAGAAGGAAGGAGTGGAAGAGGTGAGAGCAAGCTGTTCACAGTCTTGGAACATAGACTCATACCCCAGCAAGCCTGATCTATTTTCTTTGAAAAAGATGGAAATAAACTGAAGGCCTTCAAGAATCACGACGATCTCACATTGGGGCCAACAATAATACTTTTTGACAACTGAATCATAGAACTGGGGGTGGGATGTCCTTCAGAGTGACAGTCTGCAATAGTACAGGTGAGGGTCAGGACACTGGGCTGACTCCTCTAGAAACGTTCAGCAGGAAAGTTACAATGTCTGTCTCGCTCTCATTCTGTCTTGTTTCCTCTCTTCTCCTGTCCCTTGGTGCTGGTGAGAGGCAGTGTCACAGGCTGCAGCCCGAGGCTCAGAACGGGTACTGTGACACATATATCCGCAGTCGTATCACAGAGCTGCCTCTGAAGTTGATGACAGTGTTGACGGTGATCATCTCCAAGTCCAACTCGATGTCCCGGGGCCCTTTGATAGGGCGTGTCATCACCAGGGTAGCACTGATGGGGCCTGTTTGCTGTGGACAGAACCAGCGAACACTAATTAGAGAAGGTGTGACACCAGCAAAAAAAAAGCCTGACTGGTGACTCTGAAGCCTTAACCACTGCACTCCCCCTTGCTCACTTCAGTCAGCCTAATGTCCCCGTGGCATCTCAGTGGTCCACACTCTTCCGCCAGCTCTGCCTACTCTATTTGGCTCTTTCCTAAACCCTTAGGTCTCACCTGAAAGGTTACTTCCTAAGAGGAGCCTTCCCTGAATCACCAGTCTAAGTCACATCCCCTGTGACCCTTGACTTTGCCCAAGAGCAAAAGTATTTTTTACCATGTGAAATTGCATATACTATCTCCTTGATCGAGGTTTCATGTCTAAGTCCCTGCTAGATATGAGAATCCCCAGCAAGGTGCCTTAAACACAGTAGGTGTTTAGAAAATCCCTCCGTACCCAGGGGATCTGCATTCTTAGATTCAACCAACTGCAGAGGGGGGAATATTTGGAAAAAAAATATATACTGCATCTGTATTGAATATGTACGGCCCCTTTTCTTGTCACTATTCTGTAAACAATACAGTATGACAATGACTTAGTATTTACACTGTATTATATAAGTGATCTAGAGATGATTTAAAGTGTTTGGGAGGGTGTGCATAGGTTACAAGCAAATATTGTGCCATTTGAATAGAGGAGTTGAGAATGGCTAATCCCTCAGAGATACCAAGGGATGACTGTGTATCTTGAATGAAGGAAGGACTCATTAATTGAACTTACTACATTACTTCGGGCTGTCCTTTGTTCTCTCTGGGCCTCATCTCTAAAATGAAAGTTTGGCCAGATCACTCATTTTCAAACAAATGACTTCAAAAGCACCTACAACACTTTCTTAAACCAGCAACAATTCCGAAGGCCCATTCCCAGCTTTTCTAGTTCAGTCAAGTCTTAGGTAATGCCTGGGAGAGGTAAAATTGTTTAAGAGCCTACATGGGAAACGCGGTAGTCACCTCCAGCATCACCATTCTATGATCCTATCACTGAGATCCTAATAATTTCATGTGAACTCTTCTTCTCCATGGACTCTTTTTCTAGAACTTTTTCAAGAAGGTAGGGAGAGAGTACTGGTATCAACTGCACGACCACCAGGTGAGAGGTACTCTGCCTGCCACTTTCATGTCCTCCTACTTACTTAATCCTCATAAGGCCCCTAAAAGGCCTGTGACTCAAAGTGTGGTCCCTGGGCCAGCAGTGGCAGTGTCACTAGGGAACCTGGTAGAAGTGCAGAATCCCAGGTCTCACTGAGATATAGTAAGCCAGAATCTGTACTTACTAACATAATCCCCAGGTCACTCATGTGTGCATTAATAATTAAAAGGGCTGATCTAAAAGCAAGGACTCCAGTGGGGGACCCCAGCTGTCCTTGTCTAAGGCCTGTCCTAGAGGTATGTCTCATTATTTTCCCATTTTATAAATAAGCAAACCGAGGGCCTGCAGGGTTAAGGAATTGCTGAGCCTGCTAGTCAGAGTCAAAGCTGACGGCTTCCATTTGGATTTTTCTGCCTGACCCCAAAACCCAAGTCCTATTTCACTTTCAGTTATCCGAAGAGTCTGTGTGCTTTGCTTCTTCTCCCTAGCACTGTCCTAAATGAAAGATGCTCTTGGCCAGTGCAGTGGACAGATATGGGTCATCTGAAGAGGAAAGAGAACTGGACAACCACTTCCCAGAAGTTTCCCAGTGCCCAGAAAATGAAAGCAACAGGCTCCAGGAAATCAAGGAATTTGGCTTGTGTAAAGCCAAACCAGGCATTTATTCTATCTCCGTAAAGGACGTGCCCTCCATAAAGTTCTGGACATTCCCAAGTGCTGCCACTGGTACAACAGAGACGAAGCTGGCAGACAGGTGCAGGCCAAATGCTGGGACCTCCCCTGTGCATGGGTTGTCAGCGGCCTTACAGCACGCAATTTCCTCTTGGCATTGGCTTTCTGTGTTCCCGTCAGCATCCATGCCATTGGTAGCTCTTTGTGCAAAGGATCTCTTGGACTTCCTTGTCAGGCTTTGCAAAACCTCAGAGCCCTAGGCCAGGACTTCAGAGGGTACAGCCACACAGGGAAATGCTCATGATTTACATATACAAATCTCTTGCTAGCTTCCAGTATTGGCAGGAACAAGAGTTGAGGACCTTGAGCTGTGGGCAGCCCTCTGGACGATGATTTGCAGAGCCAAAGATCCCAAGGGGGGATAGAGCAAATGGAAACTTCTTTTGGATTTCCTGGAAAACATCTCCAGTGTGTGAAAGAAGCCCAGACTCTCCCATTCATAAGTAACCTTAGAGCTCAGTGAGTCTAGCCTCTGTTGGGGCCAGAGCTGTGGCCTGCCCACAAGCACTAGGGAGGGCACAAGTGCCTGCCAGGAAAGCCAAGACTACCACCTCCTACTCCACATTCAGCATTTAGGGTAGAGTCTGGTCAAGAATGAAATAACTGCTCTAAGAGCCCCTGGTCATTGGGAGTTTGGGGGTCATTGGTTCAAAATTAATGATAGTGATATGTTGGCAGGCATTTGGCTACAACCTTTCATTTCTTTCTTTCTTTCTTTCTTTTTTTTTTTGTGGTACTGAGGCTTGAACTCAGGGCCTTCACCTTGAGCCACTCCACCAGCCCTATTTTTGTGAAGGGTTTTTTGAGATAGGGTCTCATGAACTATTTGCCCGGGCTGTATTCGGACCACGATCCTCCTAATCTCTGCCTCCCAAGTAGCTAGGATTACAGCTGTGAGCCACTGGTGTCCAGCAACACATACTTCTTATTTAATTCTCATACCCTACAATGGAAGTCAGTTAAGAATACTACATAAGATCCCCAAACTAATGCATGGTACTAGAATATCTGACTCCAAAAAGCTTGCTTCAGATCACTGGGCTCTCTGTTTCCTGCCATCCTATGGGGCTTACTTGACTTGGGAATAGCCACTTTGTCGCTTCCTCCCCACCCCCACCCCCACTCCTCTGCCACTACAGGTTTTATGTCATGTATTTGAGCAGAAGCTGCATCCTGTTTGTTTCTAAACTCTTAGTGCCTGGGTCGAATCTGCATAGAAAATGGTGCCAAAGGAACAAACTAACGATGGTGATGGAAGAATGTATTAGAATGACTGAACACTGGTGGCATTGACTAAAGGGGAAATAAGCTGCAAAGAGTCCACCAAATGGAAGTCTCCTTGGCTCTGCTCCTGCACATACTCAGTTTGCTCAGAATCAACTTGTAGCATTGTATTGTTGGATGTGGCAAGCAGCCAGGCAGGAGCAAGTCAGCTTCCCTGGGCCTTGCCACCTGGTCCATATGTGCTATAGAGTACACACCCTCTGGCCGAGTCTGAACCCTTGATCATGCTCCTTCTGGCCCTAATTGCGCCCTTGAGCTACCTGGTGACGGGCGTATGTGTGCGTGCACGCATGCATATATAAGCATGCATGTGTGGATCTCTGTGCATGCACGTGTGAGCAAGGGAGCACTTGTGGGTGTGGCTTGCCTGCTGGGTGAGAGTCTGCTCTTCCCAAGTGCTTCTAATAAAAAATCAATCAATCTCAGGGTGGAAGAGCCTAAATGGCTGCTCAGCCCAACCACATGATGCTTCCCATCCCCCTGGAGTATCCCCAGCCTCTCTAAGGCCTAGGAGCTCATGGGCTAACAACAGGAGGAGCAGCAGTTGCAGCAGCAACAGTGTCTACACAATAACAACTAGTACTCTGGAACACTTTCTAAGGTTACTGAATGTTAAAGCAGACTTTTCTTACTATCTCAGTTTCTGCTGAGACCCTAAAGTTAGAGGAATAGGTAAAAAAAAAAAAATACCCCACATCCTAAAGAGAAATGTAAAGGCCCTAAGTAACGGCTGTCTGTCAGGGTGTGATTACATCCCACCATCAAAAGTCTGTGCAGAGCGAGAGCACACAAGGGAGGGGTGAGGATAGGTAAGACACCTAAAAAATTAGCTAGCATTTGTTGCCCTCAATGCAGAGAAACTAAAGCAGATCCTTAAAAGCAACTGAGGCCAATAGGAAAAGGGGACCAGGAACTAGAGAAAAGGTTAGATCAAAAAGAATTAACCTAGAAGGTAACACACACGCACAGGAAATCAATGCGAGTCAACGCCCTGTATAGCTATCCTTATCTCAACCAGCAAAAACCCTTGTTCCTTCCTATTATTGCCTATACTCTCTCTTCAACAAAATTAGAGATCAGGGCAAAATAGTTTCTGCCGGGTATCAAGGGGTTAGGGGGAGAGGGAAGGGGCGGAGTGGGTGGTAAGGGAGGGGGTGGGGGCAGGGGGGAGAAATGACCCAAGCCTTGTATGCACAGATGAATAATAAAAAAATAAAAATTAAAAAAAAAAGTCTGTACAGGACATTGTGTCTACCACCTGTACCCCCACCTGAGCCCTGGAGGAGCCAGACTCAGTGGTGTCCCTGCTGGGAGGGGAAGAGGAAGACTGGACAGAAGCCAACTACACCTACTCCTGCTCAGAACCAGGGGCAGGGAGAAACTTGACACTGAATGAGACTGAAGGATGAAGTTCCCACTTAAACCATCAGGGACCTTTGACAAAAGAATAGAACAATCAGATAGTAACCCAAGGTGCCTGTGAGTCCTAGAGGAACAACCTGAGATATCAGCCAGGGGTGCACAGGTTTGAGCCAGCAGGGAGAGAAAGAGAAAGCTCTTGACTCTTTCACCCTGGCCCAACCCCATTTGTTAGACAAAAAGTTGTTCTGTGTTCCAGGCACTGTGCTAAGTGGATGATCTCACCTAATCCTAAAGCAAATACTGTTGTTACCAATCTCTTCTTTTATAAGAGGCAAATGAGGCCCAGAGAGGTGAGGTAACATGCCCGTGGTCACATGGAAGAGCACCAAGTGAAGCAAGTCAGCCTGGCCCTGGAGCCCACGCTAAGCACCTGTGACTAGACTCCTGGAGAAGATCCTGCAGCTCTGAACAGACTGGATGCTTGGACAGCCAGCTTTATTTGGCCTTTTTGTGTCTGCCTACTCCCATGTACTGTGGCCTCCCCAGGACCCTCCCTTAATTTCTTTTTCTCATACCAGGTTCAGCCTTGGAGACTTTTGGGCCAGGAGCCATATGTCCCCCATCCTTGAGTTCCTTCAGTCATACTCCTGGCATGCCCTTTATCCCTTTGTTCTTTCAATGTCCTCAAATCTCTTCTGAACAAGTGCTAAAGCACTGGGCCTTCTCATGATTCTCAGACAGGTGCAAGCTCTACAAAGCCTGCATGATGAATTTCCAGGATTCCTTAGCTTTTGAGACAATCTAGGCCCAAAAGAAGTTCCCGGGAAGGGAATCACACTGCTGTCTACTCTAGAAAAGGACAGTCTGCTTTCCTCACCATCTCTGGGCACCTCTCTCAAGTCAGCCACCACAAGGACTTTGGGGTCCAGGTTATTTAGTGGGTGGTGTCCAGGGAAGTGGCATCTTGCCTAGACAAGACTGGACTACAAATCTCTTTCTCAAGGTTGGAGAGGGGACCCAAGGCAGGAAGTGTAAGTGATGATGTCCCAATTCCCTGGGTGGAGGGGGTTTCTGTGACTGGGACCCACTGTGTCTGTCCAGATGATGGAGGCTAGATGGTAGGACACCAGTGGCTTACCCTGAGAAGACAGCCAGTCCACCATGGCTTCCCAGATCAGCTTTCTGTTGTGGTGCTTATGGGTTTGGAAAAAGGACACACAGTGAAAGTCCTTTTCATCTTGTAGAAGCTCCTCTACCCTAATTTCTTCAAAAAACCCTGACCATGCCATCCTGGTCTACTAAGCCTTGTCAATACCACCTTCTTGGGTTGTATAATTACATATGACCTGGTTCTGTTAGGATCTTACCAAAAATATTTTAGTGAGGATATGCCACTAATTAGTGAGAAAAGGCCCTAGGGCCTTTTCTAATCTGTTCTTTCCTCTGCTTCTGAGACTTCTAGTCCCAGAAGCAGATGCAAAGAGTCTGCCAGAGGCTGGGAAGGGGGCCTAGAGCTCAGAGATGTGACCCTGAGGAAAGTGGGTAAACTTCCCCAGGCCTGCCCTCCTCAGTGTAGCTCCCTACAGTGATCTAGAGGATCATATGCAGTATCTGATAGAAATGCAGTTTCCTGGGTGTAGTGGGCTGAATTATGGTCTCCAAAGATAGCCAGGTCCTCATCCTTAGAACCTGTAAATTTTGTCTTATAAGGAAAAAGGTATTTTGCAGATGAGATTAAGGATCTGGCCATAAGGAGATTATCCTGGATTATATAGATTTGCCCTAAGTCTGATCACAAATGTCCTTATAAGAAGGTGGCAGAGAGAGATTTGATATGCACAGAAGAGGAGAAAACTGTGTGATCATAGAGGCGGAGATTGAAGTAATATGGCCACAGTCAGGGTGCTACCAGAAGCTGGAAGAAGCAAGGAATTGAATCCTCTAGAGTGTCTAGACAGAGCTCAGCCTGGCCAACACCTCCATTTCAACTCAGTGAAACTGATTTCAGACATCTGACTTCCAAAACTGTGAGAAAATATTTCTATTGTCTTTAGTCACCAGGTTTGTGGCCATTTGACTCAGCAGCCACAGAAACAAATGTACTAAGCCTCTCTTACCATCTTCTGAAACAGGTCCTTTGAACAGAAAGATCTGGAACCTACTTTGTGGACAGGTGCCCAAATTTGTGCTTTATGTGTTAACCATTGCTCTGAAGATTGATTGTTCTGGGAGATACAGCACAATAACATGCAGGGCGTGGTATGAGATGCATACAATGTGTTTTAAAAAGTAAGCACATTTTAAGATATGTGCTGTCAAACCTACTGGTATGGTTTAAGTTCATGCTGATGCTGCTTGATCAAACTTTCTACAGTGATAGAATGTTCTAGATCTGAGCTATTCAACACAGTAGCTACAAGACTATGGGGTATTTGAAATATGACTAGTGCCATGCAAGAACTAAAATTTTAATTTTATTTAACTTTAGTTTGGATTTTGAAAGCCAGAATGGTTACTGTGTGGAGAGAATGTACTTCGTAAGCCATGTCTCTCTATTCACTGACATGCAAGTACCATGAGGCCAAAGATTCAGAGGTGTTTTCTTACTGCTGGGTCCTCAGTTTCTAGAAGAACACAATAGGTAGTATTTGCCAAATGGCTAAACGGAGATATGTGAATGCCTCTCCCACAGAGTTTTAGAAGAAAAAAGACCACAGTTGCCTCACAGCCTAACCTCTCATTCACAGATGAGGATCCTGGGGCTGATGGAGGAAAAGCATCTTCTGCAAACCCATACAGAAAGTGATGGAAGCAGGACTTTGAATTCTTCACCCCCATCTACTATCTTCTCTCCTCACACCTGTCCTCCCTGGCTGTAATCTTACCTGTTCCTGTGAAATACATTCCTAAGTTAGACCTCACAAGGCTATTGTTAAAGATGGCAGCCACTGCTCACCACTCTCTCTTACCCGCATATAGAATTCTCGACCCTCGTTCCCAGATTTGATCTGGAAAATGTAATAGGCTCCAGGGTAGCGGGTTGTTGCTTGCATCTGGAAGATGTCAGCGGGAACAGAGCGTCCTGACACGACATCCATGTCCCGGAACAAGATGGTGAAGGGCTGGTCTCTGCAGCCAGTATTCTCTGCAGGACACATACAGCGGCTGGTGGGAAAGAAATCATGTGAGAATGCGGTAAATCCCTTCCAGGTGCTGGCTGTGTTCACTCCCTCACTCAGAACACTGAAAAGGAGGCCATCCCATTCTTATCACAGATGGTGTAACTAGAGAACACCTCCACTCCTGGCTCTCCTCTCTTCAGCATGTAGAAATAGCCTTTTCTGCCACTAGAAAGATAGTCTGGAGGATATAAAGTAGATCTCTGGTTTTCAGAATGCTGGAACACTCTCAAATGTACCTAAATCATAGATTTAGCCAGCCAAATGTGCTAATGGTCACGTAGTCTTTCCCTTCCCAGCCAAAGATGCTCATTAAGAAATTTTAAAAGTGAAAATTACATTAGATTGACAGTTGTTCAGGATCCTCTCACACTTTGTTGCACTTAACCCAGTCTGTGCAGAATATAATTGAATCTTTTTATTTAATAAACAAGAGCTCAGAACTCATCATGTATAAGACATGACATCAGACACTTTAGAAACAAAACGATAAATAAAATTGTGACTCAGTTTACCTTCTGTTAGTAGAAATAAACCATACACACAAATATTTCTAATACAAAGCAGCTAATTTGAAACACTAACAATAGCATGTCCACATATAAAATCATTGACTTCTAATGCCTAGAACTGTCTGTTACAGACATGCTCTGATTTATCCCTAAGCCTGCTCTCCTCCATGTCTCACTTCACTCCTGAGACTCCGGTAGGGATTAGAGTTCATAATAGGGTGAGGACACCTGTTGATATGTGCCTTGGTGGTCAGGCCTGAAGGTCAGCATTTTTGGTTCTCTTTCACTTTCCAATAACTTTCAATCTATCTACAAAACCTGTCAGTTCTACTGACAAAATGGATTCCAAATCCAATGCCTTCTTACCATCTCCATTGTCATTGCCATGGTCACCCAGGCCGTCATCATCTCTCACTTGGTCCTATGATGGCTTCTTAACAGATCAGGGTGCCCTTTGTCAAACATAAGGTCTTTCCTCTGCCTGAGACTTTTCAGTGGGCATCTATAACAACTTGAGTGAGCACTAAACACCCATTTTAGCCTCCAGGACCCCATAGGGTCTGGCCTCTGTTAACTTCTCTACCTTACTCTCAGTGAGTGAGTCCCTTGCACTCACTAGGCTACAGTAACTCAGCTTCTTCCATTCTCATCAATATCACTCTTGCCTTACAGCTTTGCCCATGCTCTTCCCTCTGTTCTTCTACTCTCTGTTTAGTTAACATCAACTCACTTCCCCAGACTAGTCCAAAGGTCATTTCCTTAGTGGGTAGGCCTTTGGACTCCTGGATCTAGACCTAATTTAACCTACTTTTTTTTTTTTCTGGTGGTGCTGGGGTTTGATCTCAGGGTCTTGTGCCAGCTAGGCAGGTACTGTATCACTTGAGTCATGTCCCCAGCCCAACTCTCTCTTTTTTTTAATAAACATTCCTTCTTTCTGTTGATAACATTTATCCCAGTCTATGATTATACATTCATTTATGCACCAGTTTGCTTAATGTCTGTAGACTCTAAGCTCTAAGAAGACCCCATAGTACCTCAGACAGAGTAGGAGCTCCAGCTAACAGTTAACAAATGAAAGAATATGAAGAATTATCAAAGTATCATTTTTTACAACCACATCAAAATAGCCAAGTCAAAATGTCCCTGGTGCCAACGTGGCCACATAAAAACATCAGTGACACATAGAAAAATAATTATTTCCTAGAAGAAATTTGGAGAAGGAGCGCTGGCTCCCAGCTGATGAGGATCACAAACAGCTGGGAAAGGGGGCATTGAACAGAGATCTAAAAGACGGGGCGGACCTGGCCATGCAGAGACAGAAGGAATGCCTTCCATCTGGCAGGAAGTATGTGCACAAAGGCAGGGAGGTTGGATGTGCCGGGTGAGGATCAAGGTCAGAGCAAGTCCCGTTCTGCCTGGCATGACCACAGGACACCTGAGTAGGCAAGGAGCTAAGAAGGGAAGAACTGAGTGTTTTTAGCACCAGGGCTGAGACTTTACTGGTAACACCAGCTCAAGGCCACCAGTTTAAGAGGATCAGTTCCTGGTCATAGACAAACCCATAGAGAATTGGACACAGAAGCTGGTGAGAGCAGCCCACAGTTCTGCTCTGTCACTAGAAGTTGAAGAGCCTTGATCTTAAGAGTTGCTTGGAAGCACAACTCCTAGCACAAGCGAAGATATCTCTGAAGGAGACTCCTGCCTGGCTTTGTTGTTATTTTTGCCCATTTTGATCAGAGCAGGAACCACACTGGCAAGCCATGAAACCTCTGGTAGATGCTGCAATCCAGAAGGGCAGGATGGGTGTGACAAATCCATCTCTTTATCTCCAGTGGGAGGGCTGCTCTGGGGGATGGGGGGAACTGTGTGGCAGATTAAAGAGAAAAGGGCAAGTGTACAAACACTTATGCATGTGTGTGTGCAGGCTGGGGAGGAACTGAGGTGGTCCAATAGGGGCTAACTCACCTTATACAGAGCAATCCCAGGAGACAAGAAGCCTTCATTTCTCCTGGGAACTTGTCAGAAGGGCAGAATCATGGGCCCTACCTCAGTTCCACTGCATCTGAACCTGCACTCTAACAAAATCCCCAGGGGAGGGTCTGCATGTTACATCTGAGAAGCCTAGCTCTGAAAGAGGCTATGTATCTAGAACACAGTCATTAAAGGAGAAAAAAGGTTCGTGAACCCTGCCTCTCCACTTGGTTAGCTTTCCACGGAGTCTTCATACAGCCTGGAATGAGTGGAGGAGTGATAGCATGTTGTGTGTACATGCACACACATCACACATGTGAGTAAATATAGTAGGTAGCTGGTCAGGTCTCCTGAGTCCCTATCTGGTATGCTCTCTTTTTATGACACTGCCAGTCCCCAGAACCAGACCCCTCACCCATGTTTCCATTTCCCAAGGGAAAGTCATGACTTACTTATCACCAATCAGCAGATAAGGTTCCTCACAGCGGATGGGGTCGATGCATTTGAAACCCCCTTGCAAATTATAGCAAGACTGTAGCGGGGAGCATGTGTGATTCCGGTGCTCACACTCATTGATGTCTGAAATGCAAGGTAGACAAGAAGCAAGGCCTGGTGTGTGGAGGTAGTATTGTAGGGCAGCTGGGGTGACTGGGTCTCACTATTGAACAACACTATCCAATATGGCAGCCATTGGTCCCACGGGGCTACTTACTGGGCTCTTGAAACATGGGTAGTGCAAATCAAGATGTGCTATAAGTAGGAAATACACACCAGATCTCTATGACTTTGTACAGAAAACAAGAACGTATGACATCTCATCAATAATTTTCATTTTGTGAGTATGTCAAAATGGTAATATTTTAGATCAATTGCATGAAATAAAATATAGCATTTAAAGTAATTTTCCATGAAAGTATCTCTTCTTGTTTTTAATGTGGCAACTAGAAAATGTAAGGTTATATAGATGACATAATTTGTAGCTCATGTGTTATTTCTATTGTCCAACACCACCATGAAAAATCATTGCTTGGTACTAGGAAGAGGCAGCTTCCATCAGGCTGATCACAGAGCAGCTGCTCCACAACAGAGACCCAGTAGGCAGAGTGTGGGGCTGTCAACCTGGAGAAGACCTGACCCTTTCACAAGCCAGGTTCTTAACACTTTGAGGAACCCTAGAAGTCAGTGGAGCCAAGCTGAGTAAGCTGCCCTTAAGGTCAGTCAAGAAAACTGGGCTCTGGTCCCTGAGTAGGGTCTGGCCACAGAAGTCATGGTTGAGTGTACAGCAATCCTTGGAAGGGCCAAAGAGATCTGCCTGGTGAGATAGTAACCAGCCCCCAGAAGGTGCCACCTACCTCTTCAGAGTTCATTGCAGAAGTACGAGTGGCCCGTGTCCTAGCCAAAGGATGGGTCATGGCAGGAAGGGGAGGAAGGCATCAGCCCAGACATCTTGCTCAAAATTGCCACTCTGGGAGTTATCTGTACCCATTCACACCCTCACCCATGACACCTTCCTGAAGCCACACAGGATTCCTCAGAGGAAGATATCCAGATGACTACCTCACTCAGCCCCAGCCAGGCCCCTCTGGGCAGTCTTACCCTGGCAGCTTCGGTTGTCATCCAGCAAGATGTAGCCTGGTGGGCAGGAGCAGAAGTATGTGCCAGGCTGATTCACACACTCGTGTTGGCAGAGGAACTCGGAGAAGCTGCACTCGTCCATATCTGGTGGTGGGACGGAGACAAGTTATACCTGCTGTTTATTATCAGGCTATCTGGGAGTGGGAACTTAGCAGTCATCTACTTCAACTCACAAATTCTCCTGATAGATATAATGAAGTTGTTGATTCATTTCTTGAACACTTCTGGTGACAAGGAGCTCTTTACCTACTGAGGACACCCACTAATATTTGGACAACTAGAATTGTTAGAAAATTCCTTTCACCTTTATCAAGCTTCCAATGTCCTGTGACTTTGGCTCTGCTTCATCATCCACTCATTACTTACCCTCATTCGCCCTGTCAGAGCATCCACTCTGTCTGCCCAAAGGAGTGAGAATTGTTTGAACACAGGAGTCTTATTGATACAGATTTCTTCCCCAAGACCCCAAAATGTTCACTGGCCCAGTCTTTTCACTAGGCAACCTTAGCCGTGCTAGCTTCTCTCCCCCAAGCCACAAATTAAGGACGAATATTGTTCCTAAAAGCACAACTAAGAGACAGATACATAGCCAGCACTAGTTAAGTTAAAACTTCACTGTATCAAAAACAAACAAACAAACAAACAAAAACTTCCTTGCAAGGGAAAACTACAGGGTGGCATGAGGTGGGCAGGCACTGTCTCCTATGGCCTGCTCCCTGGGACAAGGACACAGCAGCTTCCCATCAGCCTGGAACCAGCCTAAGCAGGGCGATTCTCTAGCTGCAAAAGACTGTGGGAGAGGGGCACTGTCCCCGTGCTTTTTACCACTTGTCTATTGATACAGAAGCCAGAGTTCCAAAAAGGTTGGCTCTTCATAGCATACTGAGTTTGGCAACTGACGCCCCCATTTGTGCCTCATTCAACAAGTATGCCAAAGAAAACATGTTTTTCTTACGTTTGTTGTTTTCCAAAAACTTGCTTTCACTAGTTTCCCCATGTGACATGTCCTCGGATTACTCTGTAACTCACAGGCCACTGGTGGCTCGGATCACCCAGAGAGGGTGTCGGAATGAAGGAGGCTGCTGCTCTACCATAGGAGAATTCTGGATGTTACATGACTAATGCCTCCCACTTCTCATGGGGAAAACTCAGGCCCATCTCCCTCAGTGGTCTTCCCTCAAAGGGTATGAGGCAGTAGGGTTGAGATGTTGATTTTAAAAGTTATGGCATGTGCCAGTAACATTCACTTCTGTTTTGTCCCTGCCTGCTCCCCCACGAGCAAAGAAAGCTCAGGTCTCTGGCCCCAATTCATCATAACAGAGAGATGCCTTCACGAAGTTGGTAGGTTTCATTCCTACCTTTAGTTGACTTAGTAATGACACCTATAACTTCCTGAGGCTCACTTGGGCCAAGCACAGGGTTTAAGACTTTACATACCTCATCTTATTTAATCCTCACTTCAACCCTGTGAAGTAGGTTCTGTCACTATCTGTTTTTCCAGGAGAAAAATTAAGGTTTGCAGAGGTTAGACAACTTGACCTAGTTCAGAGATAAGGAACATGTAAACAGGAAAGCTGGGATTTGAACACAGCCAGTGTCTAGATCCTGAGATGGTAAACAAAGTAGTGTAATACCTCCAGGACTTCAAATCGGTGGATCTGGGCACTGGGGGAAGTCCCCTAGCAGGGTTAGCTCCAGTGCAGATGGGGAGGTATCATCAGCCCTGGATTTCTTTTGGAAGGGAGAGTTTGTAATCCACCCCTTTCTGATTTATCTTTGGGTCTGCAATTCCCAGATGTCATGAAGGACTGTGGCTCCCCACTCCTGAAAAGCTGAAATACAAGCCAGGTTTCTGGCAGGAAGCATGTATTAGCCCATTTTCATTCTTTCACATGAAACCCAACTGTTGTTTCCAGATCAGATCTGGTTAGAGAATCCATAAGGGACAGAGGGTAAGGCTAGGAGGGGTCTGGTGTTGTACAGAAGAGCCACACCAGCTGCCTTGGGAAACAGAGGAGCACTGAAAAGTAGGAGGGTGTAGAAAAGAAACTTCCGGTGCCACACTTTTATTCTGGGCCACTGTTATTCTCTTCATGAAGCCTGCAATAGCCAACTAAGGCTGTGGAAAGTGGGCATCATAGTGAACATGGAGAGGAGTTGGCCATGCAGGAAAAGTGAGTCAACAAAAACCCTGCCAAACCAGCAAGGATTTGAGCTCCACAAGAAGCCCAAAGTTTGCATGTATGGAAATATCAAACAAAACCTCTTGAACAATCAATACATGCTAATAAAAATGACAAAAAGAAAAAAGAAGCCAAACGTTCCCAAGACTTCCTTAGGGAAGATTCATTAACGGGTAATGACACAGGGACACCAATTTGTTTAATCCTAATGACTTCTCTATGAAGATGGATGGTTAACTGGAGGAAACTTGGGTGCAGACAGGGCCTTGGCCAATGAAAGTAGCAAACAACAGAGGGAGAACTTGAATGTGGCTCCATCTGGCTCCAGGGTCTCTCTTCCACACTGCTTCTGCAGGTGGTCAACAAGTGCCTGTGGATTTGCAGGCAATGCTGGAGAAAGCTGAGCTTTCAACATGTCTTGGTTCCTTGGCTCAGATTCCCCAAGGACAGCCACACAGCGGGGGTGGGGGAATGACTGAAATCTAGGAAGAAAGTGGCCTTTCAATTTCAATCCTGAGGGTATTTTATTTCTGGGACCGATACTTAATCAGGTTAAGGCACTCTGTGTCTCTTGACATTCCTGGCCCTAGAAAGAGGTGCTCATTTGTTTCAGGAACTCTGTCCATAGAACACTGCACCAAGTGAAGCTAAGAAACAAAACTCACTGACAGTCTGGGTCAGCTTCTGTCACAGTGAAACCCAGGATCAGGAAACTTTCCATTCTGCAGGACAAAAGGATTCTCACTTATTTTTAAAAGTGCAGGGAAACACTATTCATTTGGACTTCACTAATTTACAGAAGTGAATTGAATGGATTTTACTTTAATTCAACATTTTCAGTAAAAAAAAAAGGGAGGGTTGGGGACAGAGAGTTGCACAAGTAAAATGTGGTCCTTATTCTTAAAGAGTTAATAATCTAATAGTAGTTTTCTAATTATCTAGGAAATTAAAATTTAACATTCTGGAAAAAAAAGAGGAAATTAATAGGAATATTATAATGGCACCAACAAACATGCATAGGGAGGGACTGATAGCTCTTTGTGCTTGGAAGGTATTTATGAAAAGTACACTAAACCACCACATCTATGTCCTCACAACAAATCATTAAGATTTCATTCATCCAATGGACGGAACTGGAAATCATCATGGAAAATGAAATAAACCAGACTGAGAAAGGCAAATATCACATGCTTTTTCTCAAATGCAGAATCTAGACCTAGAAAAAAAAATTGACAATGGGGGAACTGTTTGGGGATGGCAACGAGCCAGAGGGAGGAGGGTGAAAGGAGAGGGTGGTGGGGGGTGAATATGATCAAAGCACTTCATAGACATGTATGAAAGTAGAATAATAAAACTGGCTACAAATTGTTTAGAGGAAGGAGGATAAGGAACATACTAAAGGGGTGAATTTGATCAAAGTACATTATATACATGTATAAAAACATCATGATGAAATCTCTTTGTATAATTAATATATGCTAATAAAAAGCAGATAAAAAGATTTCATTCACTCAACATTTAAACTTTCATTCACTGGTTCAAAAATGATTGATTACATGGTTGCTATGTGCCAGGCCTAGAATTGGGTGTTGATTATTTGTAGACATTCTCTAATTTCAATAAATATATACACTTACATACATGATTTATTCATTTAGCCCTCCCTTACCTAATGAGATATATGACTACTCCTGGGTCACTGCCCTCTCTAAGTATGATCTGGGCCAGCCCCAGGACTTTGGTCAGTGCTGGGTGAGGACAGAACTCTCAGACCAGCAAACAAAATTGAGTGACTCCTCTCCCTCATCAATCCCATCTCAGATCTAGATGGCAGCTCCATTGTCTTTTTGCCTTATTGGTCAGGTGACCAGGAAGGTGAGACTCTGCCCCACCTCTCAGGAAGTGACTCACCTCTGTTCTATGTGGTTGTGACCCCACAGCACTGGAAACTGTCCCCGGCTAGATATATGTCCAGGAAACGAGAGGAAACACCTGTGAAGGAAGCCTTTGACCCACACCCCCAGGTCCTTAGTACAAATGGAAGTCTCCAATGCTAAGCCTATTACCACTGCAATGCACGCCGTCATCCTCAAGTTCATATCCTGGGTCACAACGGCAGATGAAAGAGCCATAGGTGTTGACACAGGTTTGCACGCAGGGATTCTCAGTTGCACACTCATTCACATCTGCAGAAAGCCAAAGCATATAACTGACTATTTGTATAGCAGAATATCACAAGAAAGCACTTTCACTAGCAACAAAAATTACCACGGCCAGGAGACCAGATTCACGGCTGCCAAGAGTCTCATTCTGGAACCTCTCAGAGTATGATCCCAGACCCCAAAGAGCCTCCATCCTCATGGCTCTTCCTGTATGTGTATGTCCGTATGCACCTGCTAAAAAGTCTGGTCTCCAAGGCTCATGGAACTTCTAGGCAGTACCTGTTCTTTCCCAAACTAGCTATATTCTATCACCTATTAGCCTTTCTCTCACCTCCCATTACAATTTTAGGTAAACAAGTAATTATGACAAGTCAAATAATATGCTTATTACGTATAAATAACTTTGCTGATCGTAAGAAGGTCTCCCACTTACTCAATCCTTACAACTCTGCTTCGGAACCACTGCCCATTCTCTAGGTTAAGTAGGTTAGGGAGAAGACCCAAAAGGGAACAAGGAGTGATGGGAGACTCCATTATCACGTCAAAATTAATGAATCATGCTCCTATTGTACGTCAATCAGACCGACAAAGCTGCTTAAACGTTTTTCTAGCTTGAGAGATGTGTCCCAGTCCACACACTAGCCAGAGCCTGACTGGAACTAGAACATGAGTCAGCGGTCTTTCCACAATCCACAGGATTCATTCTGCACAGCTCATCGGGATGGCACAGATGGAGTGGAGCAGACCCTTCAGACACTGGCACTGGCTGACCCCTTGCAAGAGCCCCCTCCCATGCTCCATACACCAGGCCAAGCTTCCAGCTGAGAGCTGGTGGATCCACGTCAGAAGCCCAGTTAAACTTTCTGAGGTTCTGAATAGAGACTTGAGTGTGCTCAGAGGTAAGGTCTTCACTCTGACAGCTTGAGAGGCTGTGTTCTTAGAGGAGGGCTAGCCCAATGCCCACAAAGCACCAGCATCCTGCTGTCTTTGGGGCTGTCAAAGAAAACATCAATAAATGAACAGCTGTGTAGAGAGAGTCCCATGAGATAGTCTGTCCTGCTGGCCATGGGAGGTTGGAATTTCTCCATCTAGGCTGGGTAGGAAAATATCCATGGTGCTAACCCAGTAAGCATCAGTACAGATAGTCCAGCGCTGGTGAGCATTTGGGCTGGTGTCCTCAGCTTCTGCCAGATGCTGGCCACATGGAGGCAAATGAGCTCAATCCTGCCCTCCCACTGCTCGCAGCTGCTCATGAGAACAGGACCCAAAGGATTCTACTCCCCTGTCCCCTAACCACCCTTCCCTGCCAGCCTGCCTTCCAAGCACCTTTGTGAATCCTGAAAGCAGAAGGCACCCCATCTGCCCTGCAGGGCAGGAAGACTGGGCTCTTGGTTTTCCTCTCAACTCTGCCACCATCTGGCTGCCTGACTTAGGCCGAGTGGCTTAACCTGTTTGAGCCTCAACTTCCTCTTCTATGAAGCAGGGCCACAAATACCTGCCAGCTTATCTCATAAGACTATTGTTGGGGTTCAGTGAGGTTGACAGACACGACAATGCTTTGTGGAGGTAAAGTGCTCCTTCACGCACTAGGTACTAGGATTGCAAAAGCTCTACGGGGTCATCACAGGCCTATGGGCCCTGCTGATGCAATATCCCAGTGGCTACGTGCCTGTGTCCAGGCCTGAGTGCTGTGCCCGCTGCTTTATCACACTGCTGGACTTGGCATTGCCAGGTATATTAGCTGGTCTTTGTCACACACCCATCCCTGACAGGCCTGAGGACACATGCAGCTTTTGGCTCTGCTGCGCTTGGCCACCCTTCAGGAGGTACTGACTGAGGCCACTGTGCCGTCCCCTGAGAGAAAACCTGGACTGGCACCTCCAGTGCTGGCCTTGGCACCAAGAAGTCGGCATTTGCCCTTAGTGGCTTATCACAGCAGTGAAAGAGCCAGACGCCTGCTCCCTCTCCAGTGGGAAGGAAGGGCCCTGCTCTGGACTTCCTCAACCTCCCAGCCCAGCTCTGCTCTCAGAAGAAAATGACCTCGCCTGGCAAGAGGGGTTCAGTGGTGACTTCTTGGAACAATTAGCAGAACCAGCTTTGGAGGCGAGCCTCACAAAGAATCGAGGATCAAACCCCCGAACGCTGATGCCTTCCTGTTTATCCACTGACTTAGATACGATTAAAGTAATGCAGACATAATATCCTCTGACTAGCTGGCCAGGGGCCTGCGGGACAGAACTCACTGCAATGGTGTGACAAGGAAATGGGCCTTGAGAAACCTGGTGGCAGGCTCCAACAAAGACCTCATTCTGCATCTCCGACGCTGTCTCCACCCAGGACCAGGCTGCTGCCAGGGACTGGAGGTCTGGCTGGGGCCTGGTGGGGAACTGGAGGCCAGAGCTTGACTTACGCTAATTCCTTGGGTCTTTTGTACCCCTGTTCATTTCCTGAGCAGAAGAAACCTTCCGATAGAAACCGCGATAAATACGTAGCTGGCTTTTCTTACGTATCAGGATTTCAAGTGATTGTATGAAAACCAGAAAGTGCGTTCGTTACGTTCTGATTGCGTAGGGCACGCTAGGGAAGGTACCCTTCCCCAACCCCAACTCTTTGCTAAGCCCTCCTGGCACAGGACAGAGGGAAATTTCTAGTGAGAGACCTCAAAATTACCCACAAACCCCCTGCCTAGTGTATATGTGTATATTTTGTGATTCATCAGGGGTAAGGGGGGCCCTGAACACCCCCTCTCTGGTCCTTAGCAACTGACCGTAGGGCTACAGAGCATTCAAGAATATTTCTGATCAGGCAAGAAAGCCTCAAGGCTACTCCTGGCTAGCAGACACAGAAAGGGGAAGATCCACCAACTTACAAGTGTCCAGCTGGTGGATAGCTATGGTTCTGCCCTCCACAATACTCAGAGCACTTTTTGAGCTGTTTCACATAATCCCAGTTTGGGTCTCAGGTTTCTGTAAGCTATGGGAATGGGTGGGCAGTGACAAGGAACAGGAAAACACTTTAATGACAGCGTTTTGCAGACATAAACCGTCAGGCTCTGAAGGAGACCGTGTCTAGAGTTTCACAACACATCCAAGTTATTGTGCACGTCACATACCTTGGCAAGACCTTCCATCCTCATTGAGGGTAAAACCAGGGTTGCATGTGCAGGAGTAAGATCCAGGAACATTGGCACAGAGCTGCTGGCAGTAACCATAGCGACACTCATCAATGTCTAGAAACAGAAATGCAAGTAGGTAAGACAGGTCTCCTCCCCAAGGCTACTATCAGCAGAGGCATCACTGCCTTTCTCTTCTATGATGGGACCAGGGAGGGACATGAAGGGGAGCTGATGCTCAGACAGTACCTAGTAAGTGTCGGGGATGGTGATACCTTCTGGGTTACAAGGCTCCACCTCCCTACAATCTTCTCCCTCCTGGAACAATCTAAATCCCATGAACTTCTGAACCTATTCTGAAAGCTGTATGAGAAATTTCTACTTTGAGTGGGATATTCGGCAAGATAGCATCCCAGAGTTTATCCTACTCTAAGATTCATGCTACATTAATATTTAACACTACGATTCTATGTGAACTTTTCACTGCCCCAAGAAGGGACAAGCTAGCAATGCTCCAGTGGGCCCCCTGCCAGCTCCATTAACAATTAATATAGCCAGCTGTCAAAACCAGGAGCTAGTGTGCACTGGGATGAGCTGTGTAGTGCTACAGTGAGACCTATGGATCCTGTAACACAAGGATGCTTGTGCTCACCTTGGCTCTTGTCCTTGCACCAAAACAGACACAAACCTCTAGATAAACACATCTCTACTAAGCCATGGCCAGCTTTCCCAGAGAAAGCAGTAGCAAAGTGATGAATGACAGTTTTACCAGAGCTGGGCAATCTGAACTCCCTGTAACATGAACCACCCCATGGGGAGCCTGGTGTCATCAGGAAAACACTTCTCAGCATCCTATGTCAATGGGATGATGAGCTGGACAGTGCATTCCTATAGGGCAGGGTATCTTGAATGAAATCACCAGCTATAGAAGGAGATGGTGTCCTTAACATATATATACAGGCTCTTCTGGGACCTGCTATTCTGACTGAAGCTGCAACTGAGCCTTTTCTCATCCCATCTCGCCCTAGACTAACCACATTCCCTCTGTAGCATCAACTCCTATGGAACCAGGGTCCACCCAGAGCCCTGGAGGCCAGCCCAGAACCTCAGTCCCTGTGCCCAGTTTCTTCTAACTACTGCCAAAAAAGTACTCCACTTGCCCTCCCTTACCTCTTGTTCAGCCCTCATCAAATTCTGTGCTCTGCCTTGCAATTCTATTTTATCTCTGAGACCTGGCCCTTAAAAGCTAAGAAGTTCTTGCTTGAAAAACATACTTTTTTGTAAAGTTTCTGGTCCTGACCACTTCTGAGGGTGAAGTTGGGCACATCACCAAGACCCAGGGAGGCAGCAGGGACCGGTGAGGATACCTTTCCCCTAGGGGCACCATTTTTCTACAAAAGCAATACCTCCAAAGTACACAGAAGGGTGGTAGGTGGTATTGATGCTTGCATTTTGAAGGAGAAAGAAGAGTTTGGTCAAGGGAAGGCATGAGTTTGTCCACAAGCAGGAAAGCTCTTCACTCAGATGTGTGACTGGGCTGTGCCACGTGGTACCTATCACGTGGTACCTGCCACGTTAGGCTTCCACGAGCATCCCTCCCAAACTTCCTGCTCTGGGAAAGAGATAAGCCCTTCTCAGATGAGGGGGCTGCCTACTCCTGAGGTCTCTCTGCTGGGCCCAGGTATGCTGGCCTCTACCTCTCTAGCGGCCCTTGTGGCAGAAAAAAACTGGCCTGAGAAGCAGGAGATTTCCATGTTAGACTCAACTTACTTCAACTTTGATCAAAAGTTCCTCTGTTTTGAGTTTATCTCCAACTCTACAAAGGTGTATAACATAATATCCAACGTCCCTTCCAGCTCTAAAGTTCTACCTATTAAGTTCTTGTACAAATAACTCCCTCACTGATCTGCTTATGTTCAAATCTGTGGCATCATATTTTCCATTAGAGCAGAGGTTGGTTTAAATACATGGGGACTGTTATATTCATGAACACCATGTACCCCAGTTCTTCCATTGATGTCTGCAGAAGAAAACCAAGCCAAGCAAGGCAGCTTATCCAGACATGTCAGACAGGTAATAATAGCAGACCCAAACATGGTCTCAATCAAGAGAGATTTACTTTTCTTCTCTCTCTCTCTCTCTCTCTCTCTCTCTCTCTCTCTCTCTCTCAGTTCTATGATGTTGTTGTTTAGATCTGTTCCTCAGTCCTCCAGGACTAACTTCCAGAAAACAGAATAATATCTTAGAATTGAAACTGCCAGGATTTTTCCAAGAAAACACAAAATGGAAACACACCCTAGAAGTAGAAATTGAAGTGAAAGCTAGAGATTGCTATGGATTCATTCACTTGGCTAAACACAAATCCAGAGGGAAGGAGAGGGAAAAAAGCCCTCCAGTAAAAATAAACAGAAGGATCGCATGGCAGATGCCAACTGCTTGGGACAAAATTCTCCATCAGTGATGACTGAAAGACCACAGCTAGTGTGGTGGGCACAGCAGGGCGGTGGGGGTTATGGTGTTGGGAGATGATGTCTGAGCAGAATCTACAGATCCTCATTTGAGACTCAGAACATTTCTGTAATTAAGCAAAAGTATTTCCTTAGCTTAGAATTATTTCTAAGTAGGGAAAATACCCTCACTTCTATTACCTCCTGGCTTAAATACAAACTTTCAAAGACAGGAAGAAGATCTAGGTAAAATCAAATTTGAGCCCTGAAAAGGTACTTTCAAAACCAGTAATGATGGCATGATAGTGATGGTGACAAGTGATTTTAATGGTGGTGACACATAAATGTTCATTTAATAGCCTTCTACACCATCCAAAGAAAAGCTTACTACCCTACCATGTGCCCAGTCTGGGTATCCTTGGCAACCTTCAACTTCCCAAAGTCCCTGTGAACCTGAGAGCTCTTACCCAGGCACTGGCCTTCCAGAAGCCAGTAGCCATCTGTGCAGGAGCAAGTGTATCCGCCCTCTGTGTTGATGCAGATCTGGGTAGGGTTGCACTGGTGGGAATCTGTTGCACACTCATCCACATCTGCAATACAGAAATAGTCCAAAGAATGTCACCTGCATCTTCCAAAGAGCCTGGAGCCACCAGAGGTGCCAACTGCTTATTTGTCTTAGCCGGGAGGTAGTCAATAATGTCATTGGTTACACCTAGGAGATGGAAGCACCTCCCTGACAGTCACCATTAGGAGACACTGATCTCTAAATAGAGGGAGCAGAGCTAGTCTGCTCACTGGAAACCCACAAAGGGAAATGACCAAGAAGGGGACACCTACCCTTAGGCACTCTTCCGCCATTCCATGCCATCACTCTCTGAAAGTATGTCACCTTGACAACAACCATGGCTTGATTTAGAAAGGCATTTTGTATTAAGCTTATTCAGTCATGTGCACAGGACCCTGCTAACCACTGAGAGTATAACCAAAGTAAAAGCAGTGTTCCCTGCCCACCAGAAGCTGCTAGTCAGTGGCTTGATTATATTTTTTAAGGAAAACCTTTTGGTTGGGGGCTCCTACCCCTTCCCTGAACTTCCAGAAGCTCTGCATGCCAGAGCCTCTGGGATAACATGAAATGAAGTTTTGCACTGATGTCAGGTCAATCCCAGCTCTTCCTTCAGGCACAGAATTCAAGCTGTATTCAGAGTTATATCTGGTGGCATGGGTACTGTACATAGTCCATGCCCAAAACTGTTTCCTAAAAATAAACCATCCTTCCTTCCTTTCTCCCTGCACTGCACAGCAGGGCAGAGCCCCTGGATCCTGAGACGGGACCTCCTGATAGCGATTCTCACTTGGGCATAAAGGAGACAGCACCATGTGTTCATGCACTGATGACTCCACACAGGTCCACTGAGTGCCCCGGACCTGCTGAGCCTGACTCCAATGCCTTTCCTCCTTGTTGGTTCTGCCCTCACAGCCTGCACCTCACACCCACGCCCCACATGTGCAGCAGGGTCTGCACACTCTCCCTGCCTATACCATAGGGACCATGGTGCAGTTGGAAGTAGCACTGAAAACTGCAATTTGCCTGACACCTTGCTTGAGCCTGTATTTATTCTCACAGCTCCTTGTAAAGTAGACTCAAGACCTCACTTTACAGATGGGAAAAGTGAGCAGAGGGAGCCAATAAGCACCAAACCATGAGCTGAGTCCAGGTTTCCTACCTGACTTCTGCCAATCTCTACAGGGATGAAAGAGGACATGGCCAGGACCAAGCAGGTGCAGAAGGGGCTGGCAGAGTGGATAGAGGAGAGCTTTCACTGCCCTTTCCCTCCCTGCCTCTTGACACTGTAGGCTGCAGCCTTTTCCCTCATCTATTCAGATGACACCTTTGCATGTATAGTGGGGTAAGAGGGTCCAGAGCCAAAACAAGTTGCCCTGTGCAGAAGACTTTGCCTGCTGTGCACTAAGGAAGCCAGCACAGCTAAGGGGGTCTTTCAACCAGGTAAACAATAGGCTCTTGGGGTCTGATGACATCACCATGTGCATACAACAACTAACATGAATGACAGTAAGTAATCCCCACATCAAACTGACCAAGATGCCCGGGCCTCACAGGTAGCCAGCCTTCATACCTCTCAGCATGAACCACTTCTAAGAACTGGCTCCAAGGTGGTGTCACTTTTGTTGTTTACCACCCTGAAGTGTTGACTATGTGCAGTCTTGGTGCAAAGCCCTAGCCCGGTTCCCAGCTGCAGCTCCTGCCCTTGACCTCTGCCTTCCTCCACAGGGTGGGTTCTGCCCACCAAGACCAGCCTCCCAGGGGAGCTGGTGAATAATGCTTGGCTAGAGGCCGCTCTGTTCCTGATCTGTATTGAAGCCTGTGACAATAAATAATGCTACTATCAGCCAGTACATGTTTACATTTTCTCAGTGGGGAGTGATGGATGGCAATTGTACCCTGGGAACAACATTGCCTTAGGAATTTCTTTTCTTTTTCCTGTCTTGAGGGTAATGAAGGGCAAGAGAGACCAAGGAGGGTAAAGAACTGTGAGAGCCAAAGTGACTGCAAGGTTCCATGAGCCCATGTTTGTGTGACTTATGGCACACACAAGCATGTTCGCAGTGTTCAGGCCCAGAAACAAATTCTTTGAAGTTCATCTTTTAAAAAAAATTCTACCACTTTTACTAAAGAATTAACTCCATGATACCCACTTTGTCAATGTATGTGTAAATACTTGAAAATTAACTTTTGTGAGTCCACTTACCAGATTGTTATAAAGTATATTTTGAGAACTCAGCAAGTTTCTGGGGTTTTTTGAAGGCTATCTCTCATGTTTGCATCCTCACAACACACCTGGAATAGTGCCGGGTCCATGGGAAAGGCTCAGTAATTATTGAATGAATGGACACATGAATGACAAACCTGATGCCTTTGAGCCTCCAGACAGGCTTTTCAGCTAACTAACTGACATGACCATTTTGATGTGTGCACTGTAAAAGTAGCTATTGTCTCCCAAAACACAATCAGCTCCCACACCTGACAGCTCAAACAGCTCGCACCGTGGGTTCCCACAGGAGACTGAAAGACGCATCATGCATTCCAGCTCACAGCTAAATTGCTTACATTAAATACATTTGACTTAAATAACAGAAGGAAAAATACATTGAACCACTCCAAGGACATTCTTTGGCAAGGCCTCCTTTTCTGCATCAGTGGAAAAATACATTACCGCAACCTGAGCAAGTGTCATTTTCCTCACACGCAAACCTTGTCTTTTTTTCCTTTCCTGTGGAATAGTTAGGGAGAGCTTCCTGGGAGAAAAGAAAGCTGGGTGTATGCAGCCATTCTTCACTCATTCACTCATCCATGCTTTATGCCCTACTGCAGGTCTCCAGCCTTCCAGGCCATTTGGGAAAACTGGCATCAAGTGTAGTCCCTCCCACTGGGACTTCACTGAGTGCCCTTCTGCCAGCTCCATGCTTCCTCCTATGAGCTACACCATGGTCAGCTGCCTGGGTACTCAGATGATTTATCCATAGCAACAGTGGCTTGGTCATCCCAGAGAGGGCAATGTCCATCCACTGTCCAGGAGGCCTGCACACTAGCAACTGGAGGAAAGCACTACTACATTTTCTAGAACCAGAAAAGATCCCACATTGTTCCTGCCCATGAAGAAATTAGCATCTCATGAAATAGCCCAACTCAGTTGAACCATGACACTTTACCTGGGCAATCACTCCTTCTTTCACACAGACCCAGAATGGCCTTCTCAATCTCAGACAAGTACTCACTCAGGAAAGTCATTGAAACCTGCCAACATTGGGTCCTGAAGAAGCCACAAGCAGAGTGGGCTCCCAGGCCCAGGATAGAGGGCCACACATGAGAAACACTCATTTAGGATTTCACTTCAGTAGCTATGTCTCATGTCCCCAGCCAGACAGCAAGCTTCACGTGGGCAGCTGTACTAAGGCAGGGTGAATGAAGTGGTGTTCTTTCAACCCAGTCAAGAGCTCACAGAGGCACCAGCTGGAGGAACTGGCCTCAAGACATCACAATAAGCTCTCCAACAACTCAGGGGACAACAAAATGAGCAGCATCTTCCATTCTGACTTAAGGGACAGCACAAAAATGGGACCATAGCCCACAAGCTCCTACAAGGTTTAGCCCCTGGGGCAAGTGTCCACAGCAGAATCCAGCACTGACTGGCATGCCCTCCCTTTCATCAGAAATTCTCCAAGGACTTTGTGGACATACCACTGTTGGCTTAAGCCCATTTTATGTCCTCTTCATTGGAGAGGACTGCTTCTCAAAAAACTTCATTCAACTCACTTTTCTGTCCCATAAAATGATTCTTAATGTGTTGCCCCAAATAGTTAAAAGTGTGTTTCAGAGTAAATAGCATGTATATGCATGCCAGCTATTTATTTTATTTCAATGTACACATTATATATTACATGCATTTATATTTCTACATTTATCTCTGATAAAATGTCCTTTAAAAACTGTACACAGCAGGGCTGGCAGTACGGCTCAAGTGGTAGAGCTCCTGCCTAGCAAGCTCAAGGCCCTGAGTTCAAACCCCAGTACCACCAAAAAAAAATAAATAAATAAAATAAACTGTACACAACAAAACATTAATGGATCTCCCATCTCCATAGGATGAACATTTTCTAAACCATTCTCCCAGCACTGAAGTTTAAGAGAAAAAACACCAAAGTGCTGAGACCTCTGCAGGAAAGGCCAGTGCATAAAAGAATAAGAACTTTGGGGACAGACAGAACTTGTGTGAATCCAGGTCCCTGCACTGATAACTGAGTCATGCAGAGCACAGTCTGCCTCCAGGCTGCAGTGAGAGTTCATAAATTACCATGTGCACCACCCGACACATAGCAGGTGCTTGGGAAATTTTAGTTTCTTCCCCAGTGAGGTCCTTTTCCTAACTTCTGTAGAAGATGGAGAAGCTTGGCTTCAGCCTTCTACAGGCTCTGTTCTGGAATTCACCAAAGACACCAAGACCACAGTGCTAGGGCTCTGTGAGCTGTGAGGCATGGTTAGTTCTGTGGACCTACCATAACCAAAATCAGAGACTTTTTCCCCTTGAGCCCTAGCCTCATGGCGAGGGACTGTAACACAGGTAAAAAATGGCTGGGTACATTTCTTTAAGGGGTCTCACTTTTCACCTCTGCACTCTGGCATCTATGGGTCCCTTTTAGGATTGCAGGCATCCTAAAGCAGAAAGGGATATGTGTGTTAAGGAATTTCACAGCCACATGTGTTCAAGCCTAACACATCTCTGATTCTTCCCTCCTCCTGTGTCTCTGTGTTACAATTCTACGAACAAGCTAGAGCTGATTTTGGAACCTGGGTCTGTAACCTCAGCTGAATGTCTCTGCTCTTGTGTGAGAACAGCCATTAGCCAAAGGGAAACATTCTCGCTGGGTGACACTGGAAGAAGCTGTCCAAAAGTACTTGGAAGACTACACCTTTCTTTCCAAGGCCTCCACTCTTCCTTTTTTGGACACGGCAAAAATCATTTCCTTGGTAGTAAATTGTTACCCAGTGAAACAACATGTTTTCCCAGCCTGA